TCCTTAGAGGCCAAGATGGGCAAACTTCGTCTCTTATACTTCGGACATATTGTCAGGAGGGACCAGTTACTGGAGAAAGAAATCACGTTTGGTAAGGTGGAGGGTCAGAGGAAAAGAGGAAGATCCCCAGTGACATGGACTGGCCAAGTGGCAGCATCGATGGACTGAAGTGTGGCAACAATGGTGAAGTTGGCCCATGATCGGATAGTGTTTCGTTCTGCTGTGCATAGGGTCGCTATGAGTCGGTATCGACTTGATGATACCTAACAACAACAAACAACAACAACATTATGTACATCAGAGTCCTCATGTGGTGCTATGGGTTAACGTGCTGAACTGCAAAGTCAGTTTGAACCACAAGGTCGGCTGTTCAAACTCAATTCTGCTCCTTGGAAACCCTCTACAGGATCGCTATGGGTCAAAACCAACTCAATAGCACTTAACAGTAACAACAACAATTATGCACATCAATATGAACTTTCTGAAAACTGTACATACAGAGAAGGTCTTACAAGCTTCCAGGAGAACACACAGCTCCCTAAAGAGGATGTGTCAGAATGATATTAGTTTTCATATTTGCAATAAGAGAAAGTAAGAGACTACAAAGCTAAGCCTTCAAAATTCTTTGAAAATCATTTCTACCTGGAATTCTATACATGGTAAACTATCAGTCAGATAAAGACATTTTCAGGTATGCAAAACCTTAACATTTTTACCTCTCATGTAACTTTCTTAAAAGCCTACTGGAAAATCCCACCCACTACCTTCAAGTTGTTTCCAACTCATGGCAACCATATAGGACAGAGTAGAACTTCTTTATAGGGTTTCCAAAACTATAAAGCTTTATGGGAGTAGATTGCCTCATTTTTGTCCCATGGAGCATGTTTGGTGGTCTAAACCACCAAGCTTGTAGTTAGAACGTATGCCACCAAATCAGAGGGATTACATCAAGAAAGGAAAACATGCAATCCAGAAAACAGAGGCTCTGACCCAGAAGAGAGGCCACCAGAATTTCTAGATGATGATGGCTTATGCTCAACTCTAACCAAAAAGGAGCTCTGGTAGCGTAGTGGTTACGAATCGGGCTGCGAACCTCAGGGTCAGCAGTTCTAAACTACCAGCAGTTCTGTGGGAGAAAGATGAGGCGTTCTGCTCCCGTAAAGATTTACAGCCTCGGAAACCCTGTATAGGGTCGCTATGAGTCTGAACCAACTCCACAGCACATAACAACAACAACAACTACCCAAAAGTTGGTTGTTGAAACCCACACATTGGCAATTCCCAAGAAAGTTCTGGTGATCTGGTTCTGTAAAGATTACAGCCAAGAAAACCTTACAGAGCAGTTCTATTCTGTAATACATGTGGCTGTCATGACCCAAAATCAACTCAATGGACTGTAACAGATTTGGAATTTTTATTTTTTCACTTGGTTGCTTAGTTTTTGATAAAGGGAGATTTGAAGATAACAGCTAACTGGACAGTAGTCTTAGAGAGCAGCTAGTCCAGAGTGGAGTCAAGGTCAAAGGGTGTCAGGAGGGACAGCTCCAATATAGGATAAAAGGAATCTATTCTCTATTATGTTTGAATATACTGAGAGGTGATCACGTCTTCTGGTGGAGAGTTGATGGTTGACATTAAGTGTCATCTAGTCAGTTCCAACTCACAGAGACCTATATAGAGAGTTTCCAAGGAGTGGCTGGTGGGTTTGAGCCACTGGCCTTGTGGCTAGCAATCCAGTGCTTATCCTACAATGCCCCACCAGGAATCCAGTGGGAAGTTTAGGGATGAAATAATAAGTTGCCTTGTATGATAAACACTGGACCATTAGATCGACAGTTCAAACCCTTTCCTCGAAACCCTATACAGGATCACTGTGAGTTAGAACCAATTCAACCGCACTTAACAACAACATAGAACAGTAAAAAAAAAAACAAAAAAAAAAATACATGGGGAAAAAAGTGAGGGGAGGAGGATGAATAAATTGATTAATGATGTACTCGAAAAGGGGGGAGAAAAAGGTTGTATGAAAGAAAAGTGTGAATCATTGTACCCTATAACTAATATCCCAAAAATACATAGAGAGATGGAGCAGCAGAGGACTATAAGGTCATGGACTGAGAAAGGTAGTGTACCTGTGGGCAGGAGGCTGGCTTGCAAAATGTGTCCTTTGGACATTAAAATGAACACATATTTTCAATGTGGTATGTATACCACATTGAAGAAAAAAATAAAAAGGTTATAGAGGTAAATCCTATAAGATGATGGTGCATGGAGGGGATTGTAAGCATTGCAAAACCTTCACTCAATTCAGAACAAAAGCTTTAAAAAAAAAAAAAATGCCCAAAATACATTTTAGTCACAATAAATGTAACATTGACTTAATCCAATCAAATATTGTTATCGCTGTATTAACAGGATGAGGAAAAAGAAGGCTAAGAGAGAGAAACAGGGAAGCTTAGGGATGTAAGAGAAATAAATCCTCATCTATCATAGTAGGAAATCAAACAAAACATCTAAGGGAGCAAATAAGCATAGCATTTTGAAATGTGGAGGAAAACACGAGAAGGCACTGGGGAGGGAGTGTCAGAGATGGGGAAGGGGTGACTGCTGTGGACGAAAGATCTATTTCACTACACATGTGTGAAAGTCTGATCGCAAAAACTGTTGTAAGGACTGGAACTTCTTACCTTTGTGACATCTAGCTGGTTTGACCAGTCCATGTTGAAGTTCTCAGCACTGTTACTAGCAGTATGATGTCTAATGGATCGAGTGATATGGTAATAGCAGTAAAACATCACTGCTAGAGGTACAACAAAATTTACCACAACAACGGTCATTGTGTAAGAAACAAAAGATCTGAAAATAAAAAAAAGAAATTATAACTAATCATTTTATAGGTGGATGGGAAACAGGTGACAATAATTAGAAATAATACTGGCATTCACCTGCCCTCATTAGATTTTTAAATACCTTGGGGCACATAGTTGACTTTGAGTTCAATTAGACCAGGAGTTGGCAAATACGACCTCAGATCAAATTCAGTCTATCACTTGTCTTTGTAAATAAAGTCTTATTGGAACATAGCCATATATTCACTTATATACTGTCATTGGCTAGTTTTAAAGCACAATGATCTTAAGTGCCGTAGAATCTGTCCAACTCAGAGTAACCCTGAATAGGGTTTCCGAAGAGCAGCTGGTGAAATTGAACCACCGACCTTCTGGTTCAAACTGACCTGTGGTCTAGGGCTTTATCCTACAGTGTCAACACTAGGAGTTGAATAGTTGAGTCAAAGACTGTCTAACCTGTGAAGTCTAAAATATTTGCTTTACAGTATTTTAGAAATTACAGATAAAGCTTTAGAATTTAGATTTTGAATTTTCCATGTATTTTTCTGAGTAATCTTGTTTTCTTTAATGAACTAAACTATCCTATTTTCCCTGGGAAGTACAGAAGAGCATCACCAACTACTAGGCAAATCCCTGCAGCGAATCCTGTGCTTTTGCTTCCCAGATGTTTGATCACGCAATCTGCTTGAAAAGACATGTGAATCAGCCTGGGTTGTTAACCAGAGCTGAACGCTTTCTTGCTTCACTAACAGTGACTTTTCCCACTCAAGGTGCTATCTCTAAGATGTACAAATATTGTAAAGGTAATTTGTACCTCCATTGCTGCCTTAGGAAGAAGCAGAGGAGAGGAAAGAAGGGAAACAGCAAGGGGGAGAGAAAGTAAACAAACCTTTCATTTTCTCAGTAGTGTCTCTTGCTCGAATCACATTATCACCACATTTTGTATGAGAAACATGAGATCTGAGCTTAAATTTGAAATGATGAAAACTATGTCTACATTAGCAGCATTGGATTTTAAAGTCTAAACGTGTCTTACTCATCATTTTTCCTCCAGTTTATGGTACAGGTGGCACCAGTAGGATCTGGGGCATAACTTGCCCAGCCTATGACAGGCAGCAAAGCCCAAAGCAAGCCATTGATCCAGGCCCCCAGGATCATGCTGATGTAAGTGTTAGAGGTCATTCTTCTTCCTATTGACACGCATACAAAATCATTAGCCTTATTTGCCAACGATGGGATCCATCCCTTCACTTTGATTTAATCAATAACTCAAAGCTACCAAGTAGAATCTGTACAGAACACATAAGTCCACTCAAAACCTATCTACATGAATTCACGTTCTGGTTCTGGTGGGCGGGGAACAACATCACTTAAGCTGAAGCTTGAAAGATAAAAAGGAGCAGTCAGTGTTGATAAACAGGAAGAAGTGCTTTCCAGGGACAATGAACAATATGTACAAAGGTCCTGAAGTGAGAGAGCTTGGCCAGTCCCCCAAAGTGAGAGTGGTTTGGTAGTGGTTAAGTGTCGTGGAGTCAGTTCTGACTCATAGCGACCCTGTACAGGGTTTCCGAGGCTGCAAATCTTTATGGGAGCAGAAAGCCTCATCTTTCTCCCGTAGAGCAGCTGGTGGTTGAACTGCTGACCTTGCGATTTGCAGCCGGATTTGAACCACTACACTACCAGAGCTCCTTAAAGTGAGAGTAGCCCCAGTCAAAGCTAGAAAGGTAGACCAAGATACAGACCAAGAGGGCCTTGGAGGCTATGTCATGAAATTTAGATTCATTTTAATATGATAGGAAATCATTGATACTTTTAAACACAGTGTATTTGGAGAGCTAAGACTGTGATCGCAAACCATTATGTCTATACTTTGAAGAGAACATGTGTCAACTGCTATTTAAGCAAGAACTGGATTCATTTAGCAAGTGAGAAAGTGCTGTACCTATGTCAGGATGGCAGGTGGTCAGGTATCGATCTATGGCCATGATGGTGAGGAATCCAATACTTGCCATGCCAAAAAAAATATTTAATCCAGCATAAATCTGAAAAACAAAATTGGAAAGAATCCACCATCTAAACACTTTTCCAAGAAACATTCTAATTTCTATTTCCGTTGGTAGGATATATTTTAAATATACTACACTTTTTTTTTTATTAATTTTTAAATCAGTCTTCTATTGTCAGACTGCAATTGGTGTAATAAAAATTTATAGAAAGTGTTTTAAGATTTCACTAATTAAAATAAATACTTTAAAAATATTTTATAACTTCCAGTAAAACTTTTATGATAAAAGACATTATAAACAGAGTACAAAATAAAGCATAAAAGATTAGTATTGAGAAGATATACAGTCATCAAGAAAACCTCAGTAGAAAAAAGGACTATTCACACAAAAGAAAATCTGAAAATTTCTGATACAAGAAAGGATTTACGACGTTAAGTATTCAACAGAACATAAATTATATATTATTAGACACAAAAGAATCCTCAAAATTGATATAATTATTTTAGAGAACGAATTGTCACATCTAATAAAGCTGAAGATAAACAAACAAGTCATCTACTAAGTGATGTGTCTAGAGAAAGTCACATATTGAAGGTGGAAACATGAAGTCTTTTTTGAAGCCTTGTTTGTAGCAGAAAATAATTAGAAGCAAATGCTCAATAATGAATAAGTTGTGGTAAAATGAGTAACTTACTTCTACATCCATCAACATGCATAAACTTCAAAAACAAACTACTGGACAAAAAAAAATACAAACAATATGATACTTACACAAAATTGAAAACATTCAGATAGTATTGCATCTATATGTTCCTGGGTACACAAATACGTAGTGAAATCAAAATATATTCTTGGGAAGGAAAGGAAAAAGGTTGGGGAGTTCTATGGAGTGGCCTTCAATGGTATCTGTAAAGTTTTATATCTTTAAAGTTTCTCTCAGCTATTCCTACATTTTTCTATGACCTGAAGCACATATCGCAGAACTTTTCTTAAAATTTGACAAAACTGATTAAAGCATACATATGAATGCTCATTACTCACCAGTATCTTCATTTCACTATCTATAATTTTATGGCTTGAAATAGTAGACTGTTAAGAAACATTTAAGACAAGTCTTATTTGCCTACTCTTCCAATGTAAATTGAGAGTAATTTATTTCCTCAAAAAATAACAGCAAATATGTTTAATAACAATTCTCAACTTTCCAGAAGAAAACATCAACAATATGGTAGCTTAACAACATTTCTTAGATATTATGATTAAGTCACTAAATATTTCATTATTTCAAAAGACAAGTAGTATAGTTATTTGAATATGTAAAACTACGTTTTTGTTTAGGCAAATGCTGATAGCTTTATTGGTTTTTACCTTTGAGTTGGTGGATTTTTCAACTTTATTTTTAATGGGTTCGTTTCTCTTATTAAAGAATATATTTCCCAGTCACACTCAAAGCTGTTTCCAATAACATCAACACAGCTACTATCCTACAATAACTTGTTTGAGTTAAGGCCTCAGGATTTAAGACATTTAAATTCACATCTCTTTGATCCAATTGATCTTGCTTTAATTCTAAGTGTCTCCAATACCTGACATCCTGCATATCCAAACTTCCAACTTCCATGCAGATCCGAAGCAGCAGACATGGGGTAGCCAATGCTACTGACCCCTATATCGGTAACAGCCAGGTTTATGATAATTGCATTTGTGGGTGTCCGAAGTTCTTTGTACTTAATGAAGATTCCCAGAACGACTATGTTGCTGAGGATACTTATCATTCCTGGGAACATGCAAATATATATATATAATTTAATTTGAATGTTTAAAATCAAATTAAAATTTAAGAATCAAAATTAAATATTAAGTCCCTTCAAAATTAGAGCAAATCTTTTTTTTTATTTCATGTATTTTTAAAGCTCCAGCTCTTCTTAAAGCTATTTGTAACATCTTCACAGTTCTTCTGTAAAATAGAAATAAGGAAATTGAAACACAATCTATCCATTATATAAGTCAATTCCTGAGAGTTGGTCTTAAAGTCATCACTTTGACTGCTCTGTGCCTGAAACCTTGGTTTTCATGATATCATCCCTGATTTTCAGGTCGGATGTCTGACTACAACCTCTCTCTTGAGAGTTTAACTTCCCCTGCTTGCTAAGGCCCAAGGTTCTTCTTTTTCTATTGTTTCCTTTAGCCAAGCACAGTGGCTCTGCAGGATAATCACTGGCCATGAACCACAAGGTCATCAGTTCAAGCTTACTAACTACTTCTGGGGAGAAAGATGCAGCTTTCTGCTCTTGTAAAGATTTGTAACAAAAGTTTCACAGGGGCTAAAGGAGGGGTCTGACAGTGTTTCTCTGCTATTCATAAGCTATTCATAAAGTGTTGAAGAGCAAAGACGTCAGCTTGAGGACTAAGGTGCGCCTGACCCAAGCCATGGTGTTTTCAATAACCTCATATGCATGCAAAAGCTGGACAGTGAATAAGGAAAACCTGTAGAAGAATTGATGCCTTTGAGTTATGGTGTTGGAGGAGAATATTAAAAGTGCCATAGGCTACCAAAAGAACCAATAGATCCGTTTTTGAAGAAGTGCAGCCAGAGTGTTCGTTAGAGGCCAAGATGGCCAAACTTCGTCTCTCATACTTTAGACATATTGTCAGGAGAGAGCAGTCGCTGGATAAGGATATCATGTTTGGTAAGGTGGAGGGGCAGAGAAAAAAAGGAAGACCCCCAATGAAATGGATTGGCCAAGTGGCAGCATCGATGAACTCAAGCGTGGCAATAATAGTGAGGTTGGCCCAGAATAGGGCAGTGTTTCATTCTGCTGTGCATAAGGTCGCTATGAGTTGGTACCGACTTGATGGCACCTAACAACAGCAACAACAACAAAGGAGGGGTCGACCATTCATTTAAAAGAGAAGGCCACCACTTGTTTTTTTTTTTTGTCAGTTTGTCATACTGGGGTGGTTTGAGTGTTGCTGTAATGCTGAAAGCTATGCCACCAGTATTTTAAATACCAACAGGGTCACCCTTGGTGGACATATTTCAGCAGAGCTTCCAGACTAAGACTAGGAAGAAAGAGAGGCAGACTATTTCTGAATAGCTAACCACTGAAAACCTACGAATAGAAGCAGAACATTGCTCAGATAGACAACTGGAAGATACACCTTTCAGGTTGGAAGGCACACAAAATACTACTTGAGAAGAACTGCCTCCCCTAAGCAGAGTTGAACAAGTGACGTGAATGGAGCAAAACTTTTGGGACCTTCATTTGTTGATGGGTCACAATTCAAAATGAGAAGAAACAGTTACAATATTATCCATTAATATTCAGAATATGGAATCTACAAAGTATAAATCTAGGAAAATTGGAAGTTGCCAAAAATGAAATGGAATGCACAAAGATTGATATCCTAGACATTAGTGAGCTGAAATGGACTACAATTGGCCATTTTGAATCTGTCAATCATATGGTTTATGATAACAAAATAACAAATTGAAGAGAAATGGTGTCGCATTCGTTAGCAAAAAGAACATTTTAAGATCTATCTTAAAGTACAATGCTATCTGTGCTAGGAAAATATCCATATGTTTACAAGATAGACCAATTAATACCAGTATTATTCAAATTTATGCACCAACCACTAAAGCCAGTGATGATAAAATTGAAGAATTCTACCTACTTCTTCCGTCTAAATTTGATTAAACATGCAATCAAGATGCACTGATAATTACTGAGGATTGGAATGCAAAAGTTGGAAGCAAAGAGGAAAAATTAGTAGTTGGAAAATATGATCTTGGTGACAGAAATGATGCTGGAGATCACACGATAGAATTTTGCAAGACCAACAACATATTCATTGTAAGTAGCTTTTTTCAACTTATTTTATCAGTGGTTGGTGGGTAAATTTAAAATAATAGTTGTATTAACTGGTCTTCCTTGTAGGCATATGGATATTACCCTATTACAGACAGCATTATATTCCAAGACAGATCTTGAAATGTTCTTTTTTGATGATGAATGCAACACTATTCCTTTTCAATTTGTCATTCCAGGCATAGTAAACCATGTGGTTGCCAGATTCAAAACGACTACTCCCAGTCCATTTCAGCTCACTAATACCTAAGATATTGATGTCTGTGCATTCCAGTTCATTTTTTGTGACTTCCAATTTTCCTAGATTCATACTTTGTACATCCCATGTTCCAATTTTTAGTTGATGTTTACAACTGTTTCTCCTCATTTTGAGTTGAATCTCATTAGAAAATGAAGCTTACAAAAGCTTTACTCCATTCACATCATCTCAGTCAATTCTCCTTTAAGGTAGCCCTTACCCAGTGGTACTTTGAGTGCCTTTCAATCTGAGGGGTTCATTTACCAGCTCTTCATCATGTTTCAATATTCATTATTCTGTTGCTATCTGGGAGTGTTCCACTGCTATTCATAAGGTTTTTAGTGACTAACTATTCAGATGCAGTCTGTCTCTCCTTTTCCTAGTCTGTCTTCATCTGAAAGCTCAACTGAAACCTGTCCACCCTGCCCTGGGTGACCCTATTTTAAATACCCATGGCATAGCTTCCAGAATCACAGCAATGTGACAAGAACAGATTTAATTCATTAGACACTATTGACCAAAGACCTTAAGTGTTGTTTAATGACATAAAAAAAAAAAATCATAATGGAAGAAACCAAAGGACAAGAGTGGGGAGAGAGATCAAAACAGATGTCAAAAGAGTCTGCAATTTGTTCGTGAGCATAGTGAAACTAAAACAAATGGGAGAAAGGAGGAAGCAAAAGAATTAAACAGAAAATTTCAAAGAGCAGCTTCAGAAGACAAAGTAAAAAATTATCATGAAATGTGCAAAGACCTGGAGTTAGAAAATCAAAAGGTAAGAACACACTCAGAATTTCTCAATGTAAAAGAACTGAAGAAAACATTCAAGCTTCAAATTGCATTACGGAATGATTCTGTGAGCAAACTATTGAATGCTGCAGAAGCATCAAAAGAAGATAGAAGGTATACATACAGTCACTGTATCAAAAAGAAATGGTTGATGGTCCACCATTTCAAGAGGTAGCATATGATTAAAAACCGATGGTACAGAAGGAATAAGTCCAAGCTGCTCTGAAAGCGTTGTCAAAAAACAAGGCTCCAGGAACTGACAGAACACAAGCAGAAATCTTTCAACAAACTGATGCAGCACTGGAAGCACTCATACATCTTTGCTGAGAAATTTGGAAGACAGCTACCTGACCAACCAATTTGAAAAGATCCATATTTGTGGCCATTCCAAAGAGAAGTGAACCAGTGGAATGTGGGAATCATCAAACAATATCATTAGTATCACATGCAAGTAAAATTTTGCTGAAGATTATTCAAAAATGGTTGCAACAGTACATTGATAAGGAACTGCCAGAAATTCAAGCTAAATTCAGAAGAGGAGGTGGAACGAGGGATATCATTGCTGAGTCAGATGTATCTTGGCTAAAAGCAGAGAATACCAGAAAGATGTTTTCTTATGAATGATTGACTATGCAAATTATTTCAACTGTGTGGATCATGACAAACTAACATTACAAAGAATGATTATTCCAAAACACTTAATTGTGCACATGAGAAACCTGTACATAGACAAAGAGACAGTCATTAGAACATAACAAGGGGACGTTGCTGTTGTTGTGACGTGCTGTCGAGTCGATTTCAACCCATAGCAACCCTGTATAGGGTTTTCGAAGAGCAGCTGGTAAGTTTGAAACACCAACCTTGCAGTTCAAATGGTTTTGCAGTCTGGCACATTAACCCACAGCGCAACACCAGGACTCCGAATAAGGGGATACTGAATTGTTTAAAATAAGGAAACATGTGTTCCAGAAAAGAATCCTTTTCCCACATTTATTCCATATGTATGCTGAGCAAACAATCTGAGAAGCTGGATTATATGAAGAAAAACATGACATCAAGGTTGGAGGAAGACTCATTAACAACCTGTGATATGCAAATAGTACAACCTTGCTTGCTGAAAGCGAAGAGGACTTAAAATACTTGCTGATGGAAATTTAAAAAAAACAAAAGTTACAGACTTCAGTATGGATTGCACCTCAATGAAACAAAAACCAAAATCCTCACTACTGGGCCAATAAGTAACATCATGATAAATAGGAAAAAGACTGAACTTGTCAAAGGCTTCATTTATCTTGTATCAACTCTTGGAAACAGCAGTCACGAGATCAAATGATGTATTGCACTAGACTTCTTTCAAGTATTCAAAAGTAAAGATATCAGTTAGAGAACTAAGGTGTGTCTGGCCCAAGCCATGATATTTTTGAAAGCCTCATATGCATGTGAAAGTTGCACAATGAATAAGGAAAACAATAGAACAATCGATGCATTTCAATTATGGTGTCAGAGAATAATTTTTAAAGTAATGTGGGCTGCCAGAAGAACAAACAAATCTGTCTTAGAATAAGTGCAGCTAGAATGCTCTTTAGCAGTCAGGATGGTGAGACTTCGTCTCTTATACTTTGGACATGTTGTCAGTAAAGACCAGTCCCTAGAGAAGGACTTCTTGGTAAAATGAAGTGTCAGAGAGAAAAAGACCCCCCAACAAGATGGATAAGTACTGTGGTAAAAACAATGGGCTCAAATGTAACAATAATTGTGAGTATGGTGAAGGAATAGGCAGTGTTTCTTTCAGTTGTGCACAGGGTCACTATGAGTTGAAATTGACTCAACAACACCTGTAGTATAGTGAATTATCTAGTGTCTCTTGTAGCCATAGTC